CTTATACTCGTGTAGTTGTATCGGATTAGTAAGGTCATGCTGGGAGATGTGATTACAGTCAAACGGGGGTTTAGGTTTATAACTTTTACCAGTATATTGCATAATTAAGGATACTTTTATAAGTAAATTATGTTCCAATTCTTGACTCCATGAAAAGTATGTAAATTTTTTTAATTCATCTATCAAGTGAGTAATCAAACTCATGCTTCATTTGAAATCGGATAGATTAATCCCAAAAGATATTGGAAACTTTTCCCATGTCAAAAAAGTTAACAAGACGGTCATACTTTTTCAATAGATGTGCATATTTTCAAACCAATATGTCAAACTCTAAAAACAACATAAATAAAAGTGATATTTCATCACATAAGTATGCATATTTGTTACAAATGTGTGACGGGTCGACCCTCCCAACGGTTAGACTATCTCACATAAGAATTTGTGAAAAATTAATCATGAGACCAATTTAGTTGTCTGCGAAATTTATCTTTGCTGTTTGGTAATTATTATCAGGATAGATGGTATCAAGGATTTTATACGCTGCTCTCCAGATCATNAGTTCATGCTACTGTTTGGTATCTTTGTAGATGGTATCAAAGATTTTATACACTGCTCTCCAAATCAACCATCTATCAAGTAATAACATAAACAGTTCACGCTCTTTATTTATCATAATTCTTGACAATGTGTATTGTTTGTTGTAGTCTTAGAACATAAAGACTTGCTCTTTTTCATGCACAGTTTCTTGATTATTGCATCTTACAAGTAAATGAGGATAATAACACTTACAATAACACCACCCTTATTGTCAAACCAGCGTTCAAGTGTGCCAAAGTTTGGCAACTGGGAAAACGACGACAACGTCCCTTACACAGTCTATTTCGACAAGGCCAGAAAAAATCGAGGTGGGGGAAAAGTCATAAACCCAAATGACCCCCAAGAAAATCCAGACATGTTCCCTAACAACGATCCTTCCTCCAAATCAAGAACCAAATCAGACGAGCCAATTGGGCCGGGCCCTGAACACAGAACAGCAAGTAAAGAGGACAGTGATTTTAAGCGGTTCACCAATTCCCCTGCTCGGGCTGAGAATATGGGCCAGAGGTCCACGAAGGCGGGCCGGCCAACGAGGCGCAGTGAAGGGTCTGAGCAAGGCTTTGAGCGTTCGCCACTTCACCCGCATTATCAGGCAAAAGTAACGGGGAGAGTGAGTGGGAGTGGGTCCCCTTCTTGGGAAGGAAAGAATCATGACAGTAGTCATGGTACACCAGGAAGATCTCGCCTAAAGCCAACCTCTAGAGGCGATGAAAGTGTGAGTTTTTTGCCCTTTGTTCACTGTTCAGTTTCGAGTTTTGCATGTAGCATTTACATTGTTGTTTGGATAAAGCAAGCATACAACATTAGCTGTTGAGAACAGTTTGAGGTCCACAAAGAGTCGAGTTTTCTTAGCTTATAAGATGTTTTTTTAAGTATTTAGAGGTTTTGGGTGTTATTTTTTTAAGGAATATGTACTGAGGCCCTGTCCTCCCTAACGTTTAGCCTAATTATGACAAAATCTCAATTGAGGTTTTTATTTACCTTGCAAAAGTGCATTATGAAAAGAGAAAAAAAAAAAAAGGTATCTATTTGTAAGGAAACACAAACCTCTTTGTACTTTTGAACTTGGAAGTGTTTGTTTTTGTGTTTAGATGAAACTCAGGGATAATTTCTGTACTTTTAATTTGGAAACTTCCATTGCTAACATTTTTATATGATCTATCACTTTTTGCCTTCCTTCCTTTTGTTTTTTTCGCCTCCAAACACCTCAAAACGTTTTTTCAGAATATGTACCATCCAAGGGATGTTGTACAAATTTCTGAAAGCACTTTTTTTCTTACCGCTTGCCACCTTCTAAAGCTTAAACGAATTGTTTGGAAGCATCTATAATTTCCTGCAAACTACGGATACATTTGACCCTAACAATTAATCGAGTTATTGTCATTTCAACATGCAGCCTGAAAAAGGTGCTGCCATCCCGAAATTTGGTGAATGGGACGAAAGTGACCCTCAGGCAGCTGAAAATTTCACTCACATTTTTAACAAGGTTCGAGAAGAAAGGAATACTGGGCCAACTAATGTTTCAGGCACACCAAAGCATCCGTCCTATGGTGCTCGCCCTCAACAATCCAAAGATCCTAAGGTTGGTTAATCAATATCCTATTTGTGATAATCTATATCTATATCAATAATCTCTTAAAAGGGAGAGTTGTTTCTTTGTTTTATCTATGATCTTATTCAACTTTTATTTTATATTTACACATTCAATAATTTATTTTTTAGCATGTAAAGACGGTAGAATTAGCTAAGTAAATATAAAAATTAAAATAAACAAATAGAATCAAACCTAATGTGATTGATACATGGTTATTTTTTTTTCTTATGTTACGTTCGATCATTAAATTTTGGACCAAAGATTTATTTCTAAATATCTTTTTATTACTTGGCTTATATTTTTTAATTATTAACTAATAATTATAATTTTAAGTATTATTTTTGAGAATTTGATACAAAATTTCAAATAAATCAGTTTACGTTTAAATTTTTTTCTTAGCTATATTATTCAATATTGTTTTATATTTACAGTAGTTATTAGTTTGGTTATTAAGATTTAGAATATAACCTTATATGAGGATAAATTTACGATTTTTTTCTTTGAGAAATCTTATCATATTTATTCCAACTTTAAGTATCATATTATCTTTTTATTATTTCAGATGGTATTACTTCTCCCTAGTAAAACTGAATTAAAAAAAATAGTAATACCAAGTATTAGATGTTTAAAAATGATTGAACCAAAGTATAATCCTCCTATGTAACTAATATAATTTTTTTAATTTATAATATTTATTTATTTAGTTAAAGAATATATAATCCAACAATAGAAATAATTTTTGTAATTTTTAATTTATTATAAAAAATATTGTTGATCATATTATCTAATTTATCTTCTAATATTAATTTAACTAAATAAAAAATTAATGACATTTTAATGAAAATTTATCTAATTTGATAAATATTGCTTTTATTAGCTTTTTTGAGATAATTAAAATTTTAAGAATATATTATCAATAATATAATGTAAGTTCACTCTTCAATAATACACGTAGTATAAATAGTTTCCGTACTAATATGTGTTGGATTTATATATTAATTTTGTTTTTAAATTTTAGTATGAATAAAAAATAAAATTATTATAAAAAATAAAGTAAAATATTAAATATGTGAGGAAATCATAAATTTATTATATACATATTGTTACAGAATAGTTATTATTAGAATCATTTAAATGAAAATAATGAATATGTTTACTTTACATTCGATTTCATAGTCATTTTTATTTGTAACATCGCTCATGCCATATTCATTCAAAAATTGTTATGTCTCACTCCTTAAAAAGCAAAAAATTAATAAAAGAAAAATGAACAATATTATAATATTTGGGGCTGGACATGATGCAAATTGGGAAAAATTAAGATACTACATTGATAACAAGATGCATCATTTTTGCAATGAGTTCATATAAAATCCAAAGTTAAGTGTCATTGTTTGGACTAATGCACATTTTTATATCAAGCTAAAATATTACATAAAAGAACCATTATGAACTATTTTTTTATTGTTTAATATAGTCTTGAATTTCATATTAAAAGAGTAGTGCATATGTAATAATGTTCGATAAAGTGATAAACACATTGGTTGTTTATACTTTGTTATATATATTAAATATCTTCAATCACGTGTTATTGTTCACTAATATTTCTCAAATGAATTATTATATTATATATCATTACATCTATGGAAAAAATAAAGTATGTAAGTATTGAGAAAGATTGCAATCATACCTCTTATTTCAAGTTTTATATGTTATCGACCAAAATTAAGTTAAAAGAAACACTCTCCCACTTTAACAACGCAAATAATCAAAGTATATTGTAAGATTAAATATCCAAACAACGTTAATTAGCTTTGAAATAAGATACATTCAATATATATTAGCATAATAGTACACTTATTCCATGTATATTATTAAAGGTGAACTTAAATATTATTATTCGGATTTTTTTTCTTAATAAGTTAGAAATAAAAAGAATAATTCTATTAATAGATTATATATTTTTCTTACTTTAGGAAAAAATTTTAAAATATTTTTTTTTCATTTGTGTATAATGCATGAGTATTTTTGCCTTAAATCATTCACATAAATATATCAGACGTTGATTAACATTGAATTATCAATTAAATCTTACCGCTACAAACAATAATGGCAGCAAAGGAAGATATAAAAAGGTTACATCAATAAAAATAAGGACCACGATTATCATGATTTCAAACAATGATAAAGGCAATATTAATTAACAGATAAATGATTTTCTAGTAGCAGTCAACATCACTAAAAGGATGATTTTCTATTTTGGATTTTTAACACAAATTTATTTACTTATTTTTATCTAACTATTTCGTTTTATTAATAACATTAAAGATTATGTTTCATTACCAATACTTTTTATATAATTTATTCTGCGTGTGTTTCCTCTTGTATAAACTAATAGAATATTTTGAATTTTAAGCATAAATTCTATAAAATATAATTCTTAAATCATAAAAAATATTAATAATCACGTGTGTCACAACGTGCAACTTCCTAGTTATCACTAAAAACAATAATCCTTATGTTTTTAGCTTGGGAAGAAAACAAAACAGATACGTTTATGTCTTTATTTTAGTGTTTGCAGATGCATCATTGTACTTTTCTTTATGCTTCACATAAATTGATAATCAAGGGACGAGCGAGTTGCTTTGGATTTCTGATTTTGCTCACGATTTGACTGTTGTTAATAAATGAAGTACTTTTTAACTTTGCTACCTGACTTATAAAATCAAAAATAGTTCTGAGCTTCTATTTACAGATATTACCAATCACTTTGTTTATGGATTAATTCCACTCACGCGGCAGTTGAGCCACACATCAGCTTATATTGTCTGATTTTGGCTCATCTTGATGCTTTTTCTCTTTAAATGCAGAATTGTTTCTGTTTTTCCTGGTAGAATGAGAAGATTTCCATTTATCTTCTGACAGTCGAGCTTTGTTGAAGGTGTAAATAGCTTCTGATGGCTATTTTGATGCGTAAATGGTGCATCGGCTTTGTATTATTTTTTTTCCAAGGGTGTGCAGCTTTGTGAGGTCAATTTATGTAGTATGGCTTTATTTTATTGTCTTATGGGATAATTTGCTGGGGATTACTGCTATTTTTTCTTTCATGACTTACAATCTTCCACTTGTACTTTTAGCCTAAATTGGCAAGAATGATCATATTTTGTTTTGTTATGTTGCATCTCAATATAATTTAATCTCATGCAATTCTCTGTATATATACATTTTTTTTTTCTTTTCATGTTTTTCCGTGTTCCTGGAGAAAAGGTGAAATTGTTTTTATGGTTAAGTTGAAAGATTTGCCTTTCAGGGCGTGGGATCATTACTTCTTGATGTTAGAAATATTTTTTTGGACAACATATAAAAATTAAATGATTGAC